TTACTTGTTCTCTTATGACACTGTTCTGTAACTTTGAGCTTGGAGGCCATAAGTTGAGGCGCTCACTCATCCTGAGGAATGTGTTTGCGCACACACACACGCACACACACACACACACATATTATGTACATACAGTAAGACCCAGGTTTCAAATGTAGCAACTTTCCAACTTATGATTTACATTCCACAGCAAATCAGCGGCCCTCTCAAATAACCGGCTGTCGCACAGAACAACACAGTCAGGATCAGAAGTGTTGGTGTGTGTTTGTTTGTGCACATGTGCATAGATGTTAGTTACGTGCAGCACATCAGCTGTGTGTGTGTGTGCGCGCAGAGTGTTAGTGTCGCTACTGAGGGCGGGGCAGAGCAGGAAGTCCTGTCTTCCTCCATCACTGAGCCCCGCAATGCCCCCGGCAAAGATGTCCGCCGGACTTGACTCACCGGAGATGGACCAAACGGGCTCTCGTGTGTGTGTGTGTGTGTGTGTGTGTGTGTGTGTGTGTGTGTGGTGTGTGGTGTGTGTGACTGTATGTAACACCAATCCGGGATGTGTATATACAGTACACTGTGCTATTTTAAAGTTGTCTCCCACGTTTCCTGCAACAGCAAGTTCACTCTTCCACCTTTCTGTCTCTCTTTCTCCCCCTTCCACTCATTATCTTTCACTACACTTCCCATCATGCTCCATATATCTCTCCAAGAGCTTCTAAGAGCTGTATCAGTTGACTAAAAATACCGAAGGGGATTTATATCATTTTTAAATCTCAAATATGTCAATAGGCCTTGTTCACACATTGTGTGTGTGTGTGTGTGTGTGTATGTGTGTGTATCGGCCAGGCAGTAGAGGAAGCTGTCGTGGGAGTGTCTCGCTCTTGGAGCTCCGAGGACGGATAACATTACACTGCTGATGCTTACATAACTTCCAGGCAACGCCACGTCACAACTGACCCAGACGCGCACACACACACACACACACACACACACAGGAATACAAATACCCATCTAGATTGGACAGCTGCCTCCATGGGGCGCTGATAGGGTATACAAAGATTTTGTATGTGTGTCTCTCTCTCTGCTTGTGTGTGTTTTGTGCTCAAAAGAGTCCGTCTATTTAGTGACCCCATGTTTAGTGACCTCCAGTTGTTTTGTATGTAGGTCGGCTCACAAACGGGCTCCTTTGGTCTGATACCAACACCACACACACATGCCTTCCCAGGAGGGTCTACGTTTCCTTTCAATGTGGTGGCCACATGTGCAGCGCTGAAATGAAGGGAAAGAGAGAAAGTGTTTCACTTCGTTGTAAGCTCATTGCTGCTTCAGTTTGATGGAAAGATCGCAAATTCATACTGACAGCCGGTCGTCAGCATTCACACTCGGTGTGTACACCGTTGATGGATAGATGAATGTGTGTTTATGTAGTGTGCGTCAGCTAGTGCATTATTGCGAATGTAAGTAATCGTGTGTGAGACCAGGGCACTTTCTGTGTTTGGAGTTTGTGTGTTGTGCTTTTGGGAGCCTAGTCGCAGCTGTCTTTGACAGCTGGATCATGGGAAACATCTGATGAAATGTTACATCATCTCCTCTGTCTGTGTATGTATGTGAATGTATGTACGGGCAGCTGTACAAAATCACAAGTTTGTTTTTGAGTGTGTCAGTAAAGACGAGTTGAGCATATGAGAATGTCAGCTTGTCTGAGATTGTGTGTTTGTGTGTGTGTGTGTGTGTGTGTGTGTATGTGGTAAGGTATAACACAGGATGTTTACCATGGGCGTGTGTGTATATTTCTTATGTAAATCTTTGTCGACAAACTTTGTGAGCTGAGACTTTTATGCCTCGACGTCGGTGCCAGCTGTTTTCGGGTTGTCCGTACTTATGTACATCCCAATCTGGTGAACGCGAAATCTCAGGAATACCGAGAAAGAATTCTTCACATTTGGCACAAACATCCACGTGCACCCAAGTTGAGCTGATTCGATTTTGGTGGTCAAAGGAAGGGCTGCCCTTCTTAATCGATTAGTCGTCTAATCATTTGTTTTGGTCTAAGTCGACAAAGATTTCTTTCGTCGATTTAGTAATTTTTCTTTATACTATTTTAATGCTAAATTACTTATTTCCAAGAAACTTATGAACACATCTCTGCTAAACACAAGATTTAAAGTGTGAATCTTAGTGGAGAAAGTCAGTTTTTAGGATCTGTTGATTAAAACAACTCATCTATTAGTCGACAAAATCGTATGAGTGTTATTCGACTGAGAATTTCTTAGGTCGAGGACAGCCTCAGTCAAAGGTGGCTGTGACTTCAGAAACACTTTTTTTTTTTTTGACCATGACTCAAGAATTCATATGCCCATAATGTGTGACAATTTCACCCAAATGTCTAATAGAAAAGTTGATGACGTTCTTGACCGACGGATGTAAACTGCAACTTCACTGGCTGGCGGAGGCATTCAGCCGTGAGGCGGTAATTCTAGTTTACCACGCGTCATTGGAATTTGTTCTGTAACTTGTTGCTCTCCTCACGACAATAGTGTTTTCCCATTCAACATCTGTCCGTGTTCCTCTCTCCGCTCTTCCCCCGGTGTGTCAATGTTGTTGTTGTTGTTGTTGTTTTGTCTCTCTTTGTTGCAGTAATTCGTCATCATTCCTGTGGTCTTCTTGGTTGCTTTAGACAGCGGCTCTCAAACAAATATGCTCACTTGTCGCTGAGGAGTGCAGGCAGTGTGTGAGAGTGGATGAGCTCCGGGTGACATCCAGTCTGTGTCAGTCTGTGTGTTCATGGGATACGTGGTCCTAACAGTAATTATGAGAAACACTGTTTGTTTTTGGAAACTATACCAAGTTTTCAATATTAAATGGGAGTATAGTGAAAATGAGTGACTCCTCATTGAGCCGGATGCCCCTCAAAGGGACCAAATTAGACATGCTTATGCCCTTCAGTTGCTCAGTTAATACTGCGATGTCATCCCGCATGCAGGATATGACCTCATAAGTGATCCCCGACCTGACCTCCCCGGTAGTCGGAAGCGGAAGAAGCGACAGATGGAAGATGAGAGGGGGAGTGGAGTTTGTTAGCTGTGTTGTCTGGCGTTCCAGCAGGATTAGGCAGAGGAAGTCGTGACTCTGTTTGTGGTGCTTAAAGGGCAAAGCTGGAGCCTAGACCAGAGAGTGACGTTACCACAGTGTGGATCACGGACCACATTCACTTTCATGTGCACGTGCACACACACGGGCACAATAACAACCACTTGAGTGCACATGTTCATCTGCTTGATTATCCTGAGCTTTTATAAATGGCAAACAGTCCAATACTATATGACTTGCAGCAGTGTGTGAGTGTGTGTGTGTGAAGGGTAGCAGGACAAAGAGTGTCTTGTATATTGGGGAGGGGTTGGGGTGTAGTTGGGCCTGTTGGGTCCAGTCCTGGGGGCCAGGGGTGTGTGTGTGTGTGTGTGTGTGTGTGTGTGTGTGTGTGTGTGTGTG